CCTGCTTCTCCCTCTCCCACTCCCCCTGCTTGTGTTCCCTCTCTCGCTGTATCTCTCTCTGCCAAATAAATAAATCTTAAAAAAAAAAAAAAAAAAGGAAAGAAAAGAAAATCTAACTTCTGCCGGTAGCTCTGTGACTGTGGGAAGGCTACTTGAATCCTGTGTTTCAGTATTCTTGTGAAAGAAATGAGGGGTTGGACTAAATAATTCCTGAGAAACATTCCTGGTCTGGCATTTCATGATTTTATTTTTTATCCTGTAGAGCCTCAAATAGGCCAGTGTGTATCTTTCTGCAAGGACTATTTGAGCAGCTTGTAAAGTACTGGAAATAGCTCTATAGATCAAGCACATTCCTAAAGACCAGAGTGTAAATGCTGTTCAGAGGCACTGGGACTGGATCCCGGACACCCCTAATCTGGGCATCACAGGTCTGTGTGGGGTAGAGTTCTGGTCTGGGGATACTCAGGCTCCCGCTCCCTTTTTTTATTTTTTACCTCACTTAAGTGCTTACTGTCATTCTGTTTCAATCCATTTTGAGACTGGGGGTCTGTGTAACATCTCTGTGAAGAAAGGTTATTTCTGTGTACTTTAAAAATTGGCCCTGTGGTAAAATACAAGCTCTCTTGTATGGACAAGTTAAAGTAGTAGAACTGCATGAGGTAATATCACAGGGAATGTTTTTAAGAAGCAGGGAAACAAATTGGAGAAGAGAGGCACAAGCCTAATGGTCTTTGGAAAACAGCAGTAAAGACAGCTCCTGGACTCAAAGTGAAAGGTGTTGGTGGATAACTGGTACGGTCCATGTAGAGAATGACAGAGTTGAAGAAAGATAATCTTGAAACTTATTTTTTCTCCCTTTTCCCCCTGGACCTTTCATGTGTGGTGAGGTCTAGTTTGAAGACATCAGTTGATCTATACCTGGCTTTGCCGTGAACATTATTATCATCTTGGTCTTGCTTAACCTCTCTCAGCTTTAGGGTCCTCTTTCAGAAAGTGGGAGGAGTATAGACTCTTAGTGGTTTTTCAAACTTAAAACTTACCGAGGACTGTTCTATAAAAGCAAAATCTTAAACACAATATTGGGCTTCTTGGGCAGGATAAAGTTGCACTGACTTTTTTCTTTTTAACACTTCACTGATTATAGAACCCCCTAAAGCCTGCTCAGGGCTCTGAAACATATTGTTTGAAAAAATCACTGAGTTAGTCCCAAAGGGCCTTTCTAGCTCTGTGTTCCTTTAAATTGGTCTGGAGGAGGGAAAACAAGTGAATAGCCTACTATTTCCTAAACTTTACTCCATCCATAATCCTTTCTTTTGTGTTGCTTTTTTTTTAAAACAGAATTTTGATTTTAGTGAAGGATGTGCACTTGGTGTATTATGAAACAAATTTAAATGTCTTACTTGTTATAATGAAATGTTATATTCTGTGCTGTGCTGTTTTCTTATAATGAAATGACTCTATTATACTGACAAATCATTTCATTTGCTAATTAAACTATAACTTCTTTGTTTAATTATTATTAAGAACATGATATAGCCTTCTTGGATAGGAATTGGATTATCCCAGTTGAAACCACATAATGTATTTAATTAGATTATATAACCACCGGAAACGTAAGTTTAGTCAAGGTATGAATTATCAAATACACTGAACTTCTTTTGTGGAAAGTAATAATCTGACCACCGGAGCACCCAAATTTGTATCATCTCTGTGTTGGGGGAGAAAGTAGAAAATTCCAATCACTGAATCTCACCTATTAACACGATGTACTTATTTGGATATCTGATGTTTAAGTGTTGAAATCGTGAAGCACACAATAAATAGAAGTGCTTTGTACTTGTAAAAAATCTTGAAATCTTGACAAATTACCACATTGATCAGTGAGAACCAGTTAGGGAAAGTAGTAGAAAAGGTTTGCCTTTGTTATTATATGACTACACTCAAAATGGGAACCAAAATTTCTTTGTTGAATTGATTTGAAAGCTGATTTTCCATAGAAAAACAAAGTAAATGAATTAAATTATTTGGGGACATGAATTTTTCTGACAAAGTTGTGTAACAGTGCAATAAACTGTCCTTCACATTTCTTTTCTTTCTTTCTTTTTTTAATTAACCAACTTTAGTTTTTAGAGCAGCTTTAGGTTCAAAGCAAAATTGAGCAGAAAATACAGATATCCCCTGTACCTACACATGCACACATTTAATTTTTCATAGCAATCTCAAACTTAGATATTATATATGTGTGTGTGTGTGTGTGTATATATATATATATATATATATATTTGAGGCCCTTCCCATTTTTCAAACACCTTTTTAGTTTCTTGCCTTACTTGCTTT